TTTCCAGTTCCAGTTCCAGCAATAGTTCTGGTTTTGGTTCTGGTTCAGTTTCCAGTTCCAGTTCTAGTAATAGTTCCAGTTCCAGTAATAATTCTAGTTCCAGTTCTACTAATAGTTCTAGTTCCAGTTCCAATTCTAGTAATGGTTCTAGTTTCAGTTCCAACTCTGGTTCTAATAATAGTTCTAGTTCTAGTTCCAGTAATAGTTCTAGTTCCAGTAATAGTTCTAGTTCCAGTTCCAATTCTAGTAATGGTTCTAGTTTCAGTTCCAACTCTGGTTCTAATAATAGTTATAGTTCTAGTTCCAGTAATAGTTCTAGTTCCAGTAATAGTTCTAGTTCCAGTTCCAGTTCCAGTTCTAGTAATGGTTCTACTTCTAGTTCCAGTTCCAATTATAGTAAAGGTTCTAGTTCCAATTCCGACTCTGGTTCTAATAATAGTTTTAGTTCCAGTAATAATTTTAGTTCTAGTTCCAGTTCCAGTAATAGTCCTAGTTCCAGATCTAGTTCTAGTTCCAGTTCCAATTCTACTAATGGTTCTAGTTTCAGTTCCGACTCTGTTTCTAATAATAGTTCTAGTTCCAGTTTCAGTTCCAGTAATAATTTTAGTTCTAGTTCCAGTTCCAGTAATAGTCCTAGTTCCAGATCTAGTTCTAGTTCTAGTTCCAGTTCCAGTTCCAGTTCCAGTTCCAATTCTAGTAATGGTTCTAGTTTCAGTTCCGACTCTGTTTCTAATAATAGTTCTAGTTCCAGTTCCAGTTCTAGAAATAGTTCTAGTTCTAGTTTACTTCCAGTTCCATTCCAGTAATAGTTCTATTTCCAGTTCCAGTTCTAGTAATGGTTCTACTTCTAGTTCCAGTTCCAGTTATAGTAAGGGTTCTAGTTCCAGTTCCAACTCTGGTTCTAATAATAGTTTTAGTTCCAGTAATAATTTTAGTTCCAGTTCCAGTAATAGTTCTAGTTCCAGATCTAGTAATAGTTCTAGTTCCAGTTTCATTAAAGTAATAGTTCTAGTTCCAGTTGCAGTTCCTGTTCTGGTTCTGATATTAGTTCTAGTTCCAATTGCAGTTCCAGTTCCAGTAATAGTTTTAGTTCTAATTCCAGTTCTGGTTCTAATAATAGTTCTAGTTCTATTCGGCACCCAACATTGTCCAGCTATCAATACTCAGAGCTTATAATTCTTTTTTTTAAAAAAAAAAATTAATTCCATTAGCAAATAAGATTGCCTGGTCTGAGGAAATGCAAATATTTATCCTTGTTCAAATCAGGAATATCTCCACATTTTTTGTCTGTTGTAGTTCTAGTCCCAGTTCCAGTTCCTCTCTTGATTCTGGTTCCGGTTCCGGTTCCATTTATCACCAACATTGTACAAGGCCTTATATATATATATACACACGTACGTATGTACATGTACATGTATGTAATGTATGTATGTATACATACATACATACATACACATACACATACACACAACTTTGGATGCCCTCCAGGAACAAAATTGAATCTTCAAAGTTTTTTTTAACCTGCTTTTCTAATTGAAAACTTTTCTCGTGTGTAAAGATCCTTCAAGAGGTGTACCAATCTCTCCAATTCCTCCAAAACTTAAAACCTTCAGCCTCTGATGTCTACTTTTGACCTGACTTTATGAGTTGGGAATCTCAAACGGGTTCACTGCACCATAATCTTCCTTTCTGCGCTGACCATCTGCTGAGTTCAAACTAAATGAGATTCAGCCTGCAACGGGCTTGGCATTTGTTGGAAACAGTTGAAATGTAATCTACTGTGTGGTTAAAAAAAAGGATTAACTCCCCCCCAAATTCTCACAACTGGAATGCAGCTTATTATGGCAACATCTGCATCTGTATTTTAACGCCTGCCTGGGAATTTGGGCCCCTGGCAGAAGGCTGGCGCAGCCGTTAAGCCACACAAGAGAATATTTCTTTAGCGAAAAGCTTGCAAATACTTTTGTGATAAATATGTACAAATAATAATATAGTGGAGTAAAGAAGGGCTGTAATAGATCTGTTTCTTGTCTGGGCAGCGCTTCATGTTTTAACCACAGAAACATAAATCTGTGGGAAGCTCCTTTTATTAGGCATAAATTGGGCCAACATTTTGTTAATTAATTAGAAGTGCCGTATAATCCAGTGCCTGATTATCAACCTACAAGCTGCTGTGGGTGAAATTGTGGTGCGTTTTTTTCCCCCCTTACACACATATTCAAAAGTAGAGGCTGAACTCTGGTTTAGTTACAAGATACAGTGGAGGAGGAGGAGGAGGAGGAGGAAGAGATAAGGTATCTTAGCAATAGCAATAGCAATAGCAGTTAGACTTATATACCGCTTCATAGGGCTTTCAGCCCTTTCTAAGTGGTTTACAGAGTCAGCATATCNTATTGTACATTTATTCATCTATTCTTATGTATATAAAGAAGTTAATGAATCCAGCTGCATCAGTTATCTGTGTGTGCTTCTGGATTTGAATTTATACAACAAATTCTGACATTCTTTATTAAAGGTGGTAGACAGTTCATATCTCAGCTCTTTTCCTGGACCTCAAAAATGCTTCTTTATTAAAGGTGGTTGATACCCCAATTCTCAGATACTTTCCTGGACCTCAAAAAACCTCTTTATTAAAGGTGGTGGACATCCCAGAACTCAGATACTTTCCTGGACCTCAAAATCTTCTTTATTAAAGGTGATGGACACTCCAGATCTCAACTACTTTCCTGGACCTCAAAAATCCTCTTTATTAAAGGTGGTGGACGTCCCAGATCTCAGCTACTTTCCTGGACCTCAAAAATCCTCTTTTTTAAAGATGATGGACATTCCAGATCTCATCTACTTTCCTGGACCTCAAAAAACCTCTTTATTAAAGGTGGTAGATATACTATATCTCTGCTACCTTCTTGAACCTCAAAAATGCCTCTTTATTGAAAGTGATGGACACCCCAGATCTCACCTCCTTTCCTGGACTTTATTAAAGGTGATGGACACTCCTGAACTCACCTACTTTCCTGGACCTGGAGCACCAACATTCCATTCTCCAGTTCAATTGCTTTGAAAGTTTGTTCCAGGTTTGTCCACTATCTACAGCCTTTGGTGAGAAACTTAAACAACTTCCCTGTTGGGAAACTGCCAGCTTAGCTGTAAGGAGGGGTCAAGCAGGGGCCTAGCTTGGAGTCCTTGCACAGTTCTAAGAGCCATAAGCTTGACCTCCCCCGAGATCCATGAAGCTTTATCTGGTCATTCCCAGGGAAAGGCAAGCAGCCTGGGAAGTTTCTTGTAACTTAGGCAGAGAGCAATAAAGTTGCTGGTTTGTTTTTTTGTTTAACTTTATACAATTGGTTTCTTGGTTGCTTGTTCATGACAGACCTCAGGACAAGAAATTGTGTTTGGGACCTCCAAATCCCAAATCAAAGCGCTAAAAGGAAGAGAAGAGAGGAAAACAAACAGAAGTGACCGAAATCACAATGTAATCCTGTTCTGACCCCCTCCTCCATCCAGTAACGAAAGCCGAGACAAGCTTAACTAGAATGTACTTTTAA